AATTACCGTAATATGATTCCCAACTTAACATCCGTGAATTTCCTTTTATTGTGGCTGATGGCTGCAGTGCACTGAACTGACATTTTAAATGTGCTTTTCCCTGCTTGTTATGTGTACTCCCGTAATGGAAATTCGTGTTTAACATCTGAATATTTCTTTTCTTCTCCAGTATAACATCTGCCGTATAAGGTCTAAGATAATTCAGGGAAGGTCCCGATTTACAGAGATATTTGGGAAGATGTGGAATGTTATTAAGGAAAAGAGGACTGTAAAATCTCTCGTCCTAGTTAATCCACAAAAAAATGGGAAATTATATGTTATTAGACAGAATTTATTAGTTTTTGCCAGCTTTCTAATTCAGCGTCTGATTTTGTTGTAGGCTATTTGTGACACAGATAGTCCTCGACTTATAACCATTTGTTTAGTGACTGAAATTATAACTGCCCTGAAAAAAGCGACTTATGACATGTTTTACACTTACAACCTTGCAGCATCCTCATGGTCATATGATCAAAATTCAGGCACTTGGCAACTGGCATACCGTGTTTCCCCAAAAATAAGACCCTGTCTTATATTTTTTTGAACCCCAAAATAAGCATTTGGCCTTATTTTCGGGGAAGGTCTTAATATTTTGGGGTGTGTGGAACAAGACGGGGCTCCTTTTGCCATCTTACCTGATTTCCAGCTCTGTCTCCCTAATCCTAACCAGAGGAAATAGTGGGGACTGGCTGCACATGCGTTTAAATATTTTTGGGGAGGGCTTACTTTTTTGGGGGGGGTATTTTAGTGCATGTGCTCAAAAGCCCGATTGGGCTTATTATCAGGGGGTGTCTTATTTTAGGGGAAACAGGGTAGGTTTATCACAATTGTGGTGTTCCAGAGTCATATGATCACCATTGATAACCTTCCCAGCTGACTTCTGACAAGCAAAGTCAATGGGAAAACAACTCTCTGGTGAAAAGGTTATAAAATGGGGGAAAATTCAATTAACAACGGCCTTGCTTAGCAAGGCAAATTTTGGGCTCAATTGAGGTTGTAAGTCGAGGACTACCTGTTCCCATGCTACAAGATACAGATTTCAGGTTCCATTGCTGTGTTTTGTGATCTGTTACTATAATGTTTTGTGATTTACTGTTGGCGGTTTTTGGTGCTGCATTCTATTGGGTCTCTGAGTTATGAATGATTTCCTCTTGCTGTTATCAATGACTTTCTACCAAAGTGGTTAGTAGAAAAATTTGAGTCTTGCTTTTGGTTTTCAAATTCAGTGTTATACAGAAGCACAGAAAAAGGAGGAGGATTAAATGTTTCCTTATCAACATTCATTAAAATGGTCAGCATATTTGTGATACATTTTGAATTCATAAATAATAAAGGAGCTGAGATTCATAGCAAAGACATTCTGTTCAAAATATTTCTTGCATTGCTTGTTTTCCATCTGCTAATATACAGGTCCTCATTCCTACATAAATCAGAGCACTCTTCCCAATATCATATCTGCATATGCAGATTCTAAATGATGGCATAATAAACAGATTAATTTAAATATGTCATATTCTTAATAAAATCCATGTAAACATTCATAGTTCTCTTTATTTTGAATAAATTGCTTGAGAATTGGTTTGTTAAGACTGCATTCATATTCTCTGAATTTTAATTTTGTTTTACATTGTTTTTCCATAAATTGTTTAATAGTGTATGGTGCCCAGAGTCACAATGGCATCAGGTGGCCTATAAATTAGATAATGTATATATAGCTGTAGTAGAGTTACATGAAATAATGACAGCTATAAACCTAATGCTTTTAATATCTGGTTTACTTTAATAAATAATATTCTACTATAGGAAATAAAAGGTTTTTTAAAAACCAATCACCAACCAGGGTCTAGTAATTAAAATATTTCTTACATTTTCATTTAGAAATACATGAATATTTGGGGTTTGTTTTCATTTCCTTTCTGATAATGGAATTTATAAGAATATTATTTTCCAAAATTTATAAGAGTATTATTTTCCCTAACTTTGTGCTCATTCTCTTGATGTTTTCCTGCAACGTTTGCTTGTTCCAAAAGAGGAATATTTGCCTGTCTCTCAAAGGAGCCCAGATCCTTGAGTGGAAAGTGTTATTGAGTCCCCCTGAGTCCCTTCGGGGAGAAGGGCGGGATATAAATTCAATCAATCAATCAATCAATAAATATTAAAATTGCTTTTATACCTCACATTGTAACTTGCTACCACGATTATTCCTCCCCTGTTTAATTCTATCCGTATTTCTTTCTAACAACAGAAGGACACCCGCGCCTCCCCCCACAAACACTTTTAATGAAAAGAGTCTCAAAATGTGGAGACATGTAATTGAAGCTACAATCCTGAAATATTCCCAGAATATCTTTCCCAGAATATGGCTAAATGGGGTAGAAGTGTGGTAAAATACACTGCAACTGGTTGTCAGACGTATTCCTTGGCGTCGGGGACACGTCCTTGTTAATCATCAGTTCTGTCACCTCGCCGTCCCCTTCTAAGCAGTAGGTCTAACAGTCTTCAAATGAATTATGTTCTGGGGGGGACGGGACGGGAAAAACCGAGCTCCGTTGATTAATCATTCCGTGAACTGGGCGATACGAAGAATTGTGACTTGAGGTTTCTTTCAAGAGGCAGCACAGAACCTTGTGGATTGGGTTCTCGGTATGATAAGAGCAACCCCAGGTTGGAAAAACGCTGGGAAATGTTGTCCGTAGTAAGCCGCATGATTTCCAAAGAGAGTCAGTAGAAACAGCGCTAACCTACTCCGAAGTAGTGCTAACTTACTCCTGCTTTATTATTCACAGTGTAAGGTTGCACAGCCGCAGGAATGGAAGGTCTGCCTTTTACCGCTTCTGCCTCCCCCCTCCCCATTTAAGAAAAGAAATAGAAGCCCCCTTTTGCAAGTTGCAGGTTGTTAGGATTCCCCTTCTTGCGGAAAAGGGCTTGCCCCCTCGTCCTAGGACCATCCGCTTTGTGCAACGGAGAGGTGTGAACGGGCATCAAAAGGATAAAAGGGACGGCTGGCCGTGGTTGGGCGTGGGCTTCTGGAAAAAAGGGAGTCCAGGAACCCCAGTTCTTCCTGGACTGGCAAAAAAACAACCACCACCAAAAAATCAGGTGCCTCAATATCTAGCACCCTCACCTTTGCACCGTATACGCCCGCAAGCCCCATAAATTTCGTAGGCTTAGGGGTGAAGGGATCCTTCCAGTCCGAATGTATATCACTCACCAGGGCTTTCCTTAAAGGATTATCCTGCCCCCAAATGCAATTACTTGGACCACGCAGCAGCTAGCATCACATTTCGTGGGCCTTCCGCAAAGATGGATCTCATATATATCTCATATATATCTCTCATTTTTAGGACAGTTTTTAATAATATAAAATATTAAAAATAAAGTGATGCAAAGCTTCCTTTGATGTTGGTATTTCCATGTTTTAATTAGCTATTCCAGGCTGGGTATCCTAAATTAACTAACCACATAGTTGGAGGCTAGAGCACCTTCAGATTCTAAAGATGGGGCAGGAAAAACAGCCTGGCCAGGCATCCTTTTTTATCTATACCCATTAGGGTTTCTGCCAAAGGGTATAAATGAAATCACTCCCAGTTTATTATGAAAGAAACTTTAAAAAAAAATTTACAAGTGATTTTTTTTCTCACCTTCTGAAACTTCAGTTAAGAAAATTCCCTCTATCAATCCCAGTGAAGGTCTGGGATTTTTATAATTTACCTTTCTTAGCATAAAAACTTTCTTAATATACACTGAAGTATATTCAAGGGATTTGGGGGGCAGGGGAGAGGAGGGGAGGAAGGTATGTGTGGAATACCAGGCTAATATCTATTTCCCTGTCTTATATGGCTTTTTTTTCTTTTGCAAAGAAAAACAACAATTTTAATTAAACATTACAAAACAATTATTTCAGACTTGCTTGCGTCAAAATCCACTGATTAAGAAAAATCTAGTTTTGCTCAAAGTGGAAAAATGGTTTCTGGCTCTTATACTCTTTAAATAAAGAAGTACAGAAAAAGATATTCCTATGATAGATTGTGATTATTTATGTTAATATTTAGAAAGTTCCCACATATTTAGCCCAAATTTTTTGGGGTGCTTGATCAAGGCTGACATATTCCTCAAAGTGTTTTAGTCTGGAGACATCCAGCAATAATTTCTAACTACTACAAAGATATTGGCTGGTTGTGCTGGGAGTATTGTTCTGGGGCATATCTTGGGCACCAGGAAATGCCCAAGGCATTGTGGAAATACTCAAGGCCACCTCTAGCTCATCTTAACATGTACCCCATTGGGCATATCAAGCAAGAGGGCTTACATATTAGTTTTGCAGGGAGAATGAGCCTGAAATGCTAATATAAGATAATATGGTGGCCAAATTAAGGGACTCTCCCTCTTACAAAATGAGTTGTTGAATTTTTTTATATCAGATTGTTGAAATTGTTAGCAGAGGGGTCTCCTGTAACTGTAACTGTGTGGTGCAGTCTCGATGCATGCCCGAAGTCTGGGAAAACTGAAACATCTACTGACATTCTTTTCTTCCTGGGTCATTTCCCTAATGAGTCCTTTTGTACCTGGAATTCTTTGCATCCTCTGGGAATTTCTCAGGTTTTCCTTGCCCTGTAAGCGCAATCCTTATAAGGACCTTCAGCCCCCACCCCCGTCCCTTCTATCTGCTTAGTGCCATTTGAATTCGCCCCAGTGGCTTCCACTTTGATTCCGGGACTTTGAAATGCAAACCTGCCTTTCAATGCAAATGCTCCGAGAGGTTGGCCCAATAATAAAAAAAAGGCTTTTCCTCAGGGAGGTGCCTTTGCAAAGTTGGGAAGGGAAGGAAAAAAAAAAACCTGAGCAAGTAGTTCAGGTGAACTGTTAATCAGGAAGAGGCTGGGAGTTCTCTGCAAAGGCAAGCCAGGGAAGACGCTGCTGAGGCGCCGGGCACATTATGCACGCTGAGCTACTTGGGGATGATGTATGTGGGTTATCTGTTGGATAAGGACACCAACATGTACCCTAACCCGGTCAGGCACCCGGGCCTGAACCTCAGCCCCCCAAATTATGTGCCCGTGCCCCCTCAATACTCGGATTTTGCCAGCTACCACCACATGCCCGGAATTAACAGCGATCCTCATCAGGGGCAGCCCGCGGGTACCTGGGGTCCTCCGTACCCTCCTACTAAAGAGGACTGGCACTCCTACGGCGCAGGAGCCCCTTCTGTCGCCAGCCCGGGGCAACTAGGATACAGCCCCTCGGATTTCAATCCAATTCCGCCACCCGGCTCTGGACTGCTGCCTCCGCCCATGAGCGCCCCAGTCCCCCAGCTCTCCCCAAACGCGCAAAGGCGCACGCCTTATGAGTGGATGAGGCGCCACGTTCCCACTAGCAGCAACAGTGGTAAGGAACTTGTCTCTCTTTCTCTCCTCCGTCTCTGGCTTCGGGGAAGGGTCTCTTTTAGGCCGGGAGGACGAGCAGTCTCTACGGTCCGACGACTTTTTCCTTCGCGTTTCTGCAGGGTTGAGCTGGCCACTTTATAAGGTTTACTCTTCATTATCTTTCCCCATCAACTTGTAGACACAAGAATTTGTGGTCAAACTACATTTTAACACGAAAAGGGAGGGATACTTGCAAGAATTGGCTACAGATCCAGGAGGTTCGGAGGTGGTTTTCTTACACAGAAGGAAATTCCACTTGTGCAATGTTTGCTAATTATAAACAGTTTGTCACATGTGATGCCTGGAGTTATACATGGATATTCTTCGATTGATGAATCCATGACTTGGAACGGCTCTTCTGTTTCTCAAGCAAAGAGTTCCTGGTTCAGTCCGCTAAAACGATAGAACCGATAGGAAAGCTGGTTGCTGGTCAGAATAGCTTTGATTCTTAGGAATAGATAGCCGTATTCTAGTCAGCTTGACTGGGCAATAATGGACCAGATATCTTCCCATATTGTGATTGGCTACGGCCTCCCAGTTGATGATCACATCAAGATAGAATTTGGATCAAATGAACCTTATATAGTCAGTATAGTGTAAGTTTTCACAATTGTTCACATATTTTGTCAAAACTGGAATCATAATGTAGGGGTTATAGTATAACAGTATAGGGTACAGCTACAGAACTACATTCAAAGGAGAATTTCAAGGAAATAGGATGAGAGTAATATATAAAAATAAATCTAATGGACTTCTGTTTGTGTATGTATGTGTCTGTATATTTGCCTAATTTACATTGAAAGGAATGACTAGAACTTTCCAAGAACTACCTTTTAAGTCTTTCCCAATATCATTGTCAAACACGTCACCCAGATTCTGACACTGAGTCACAAGTTAATTTTTCTCTCATCAAGTAAAGCTGTTGTAAACTGCATTTTTTCCTCAGTCTAGTTTACTGAAACTTTCTACAGAGAATGATAATCGACACAGGGAAAAAAATCAAATATTGTGAAGGCTCTGGTAAAGAAAGTTTTGGGAATTGTCTACATGTGGGTGTGATTTAGCAAATCAGCCAGGAAAAGATAAAAATAATTTGCCTTTTTGTTAAGTTATGGGAACATCTGAAAGGTTACTGTACATAACTGCCTGCTTCATTTTTTTTTATCAAAGTACAGCTATCTTTCATTGGTTTCGACATTTGATGGCAGTGCACACTTGATGTTTTTATTCTGTACGGCTACTGTTATCAAATTCTACTGTTTTCAATTAATTTCATTCTAGCAGTTTTGTTTGTTGCACTCCTTTCAGTATGATGGAGACACTACATAGCTTGGATAAGGTGTATATTGATATATGTGTCAATACTAGCTTTATTCTTTAGCACTAGTGTTCAGCAGTATTATTCCACTGGTAGATTGTTTCTCTTCCTGTACAGTCTCTGAAGCTTTCAGTGAACCAAGAATGCCCTTTGGGCAATTGTTAGTCTTCTCAAAAATCCTCCCTCCCCATCATTCAGTATGAAGTGGATTCCTGTACAGCAATCACAAGTAAAAAGGCGCATACTGTATACAGTATGAAAATATGTAATCTACCACTTCTTTTTCCCTTAAGAATTCAGGTAGAATTCAGTATTTGAAAAGGCAGTAATTTCTGTTTTCTGATTAACATTTCTGTGGAAATGTTCTTGTGTATTTGCTCATGTTTAAGCATCTGCACAAGAATATTTACTACCTATTAGTTGCATTCTTACTTTCTCTAGTCTTCTCAGATGGTTATATTCCCACCTTTCAATTTATAACTGGTTGTTCTCTAATCTAAAAACAAAACAAAACTATTGTGAATACAGAATAATGGCATCTTTGTATCAAAGTGTGTATGAGATAGTGATGTTCCTGTACTATAAGAAAATGTTGAGTACTTTTTGGTGAATATATAAGTTGCTTATCAGTACGAACTCCCCCCCCCCCACACTTTTAAGTGAAAGTTTAATGGCACAGTAAATAGGTTCAACTAATGAATACATGGCACCTTAAATTTTATGGGACAAAAGTAACACCAAGTGTGTGTGTGTGTGTGTGATTTAATGACCCTTATTTGTGAGAACAAACTCCATTGATCTCAGCTGAGTTATTTTTTAATAAAGAGGTTAAATTTGTAAAAGGTTTTCTTTCACATATGAACTATTTCCTACCTTGATCTTTAAAAACCCGTCCTATGAATATAAAATAGGATTCTTCGCAGAGATATCTATATGCATCCTAATAAATACCTCACATAACTTTTAGCTTGCTTTTTATTGTAACTTTGGGTTATAAAGCTGGGATTTATAACTGCATGGAGAAAAATAATGCAGCCATTTAATTTGTGTGTGTGTCGTTTTATTTATTATTGTCTTGTAAAACAAGTCTACATTCAAACAGTTTGCTTCTCTCAACGCCACTACAGTAAATGTTAAGAGATTGCTGATTGATGCATATTGAACTAAAATTAGTTCTGAATGTTGCAGAACCGACTTGCTGTTCATTGCACCTTTTTATGTTTTTTCAAACGGGATTCGATATTTTAAAATGCCCAAACCGACTGGTTGTAAATGAGCTCCCCTGCATTTTCTGAAGACAAGTAATTTATCTGCATTTAGGCGGTACGTTCCTCGCGTCTCTGAGCAGAAAAGGGCGCGAAGCAACTTTCCCGCCAAACCCGGTGTGCCTTGTTGCTTTTTTTCCCTCCCCCAATTCAGGCAATCGCCTCCTTCCCTTCCTCAACTTCTTTCTCGGGATCGTTGGATCTTTCCAACGCCGAAACCAGCCTCTAATTTTGCGGCCGCGCTGAACTCTTGAACCCAGGGCGAGAAAGGAGTTTTAAGGGAACCCCGGGGTGACGCGGTGGGAAAGTGGAAGTCTCTCCCCAGGCGAACGCAAATGAACATTCTGGGGTGACAAAACCCCCCGCAACCGGTGCCCAGTTCAAAGGCGGCAGGCCGGCGACCTGCTTCATGAAAGGCCCTGCCAACGCCTCAGTCAAACCCGGGGCAAATTTGCAAGCGTGCTGCTTTGTTATGTTGATAGGCGGAGGGGCTGCGTTGCGGCGGGGCGCCCAGCGAGCCTCCTTGTTCTCAGCTTTGAGGATTGGCGGCTAAGCGGCCTTTGAAGTTGGGGCATTTCCACTTTCCTGCAGAGCTGCAGGCTGGGTCGCCCATAGGAGGACACCGTCGCCCTCGCACTGGCAGGACGCTTGGCCTTTGGCCCATAATAGAGAATAGATATCTTTTATTGTCATTTTGTACTGTGGGCACACTGGCACACATTAAAATGAAATTTTGTTCCCATACAAATATACATACATACATACATACATACATACATACATACATACACACACACATATATGGGTGTAGGTATATATGTATGTATATAGCAAGTGTATGTGTATATATATGTGTGTGTGTGTGTACAGTTAAAGAAACCCGAGATATTAACTGTACACACATATATACCTGTGAAAACTTACATAAACAAATATATATATATATATATATACACACACACACACATATACACATAAACACATGTATGTATATGTATATAGCAAGTATATAGTTATATATGTGTGTGTGCAGTACTATTCAAGATGGACAGTGATTTTATATATATATAAAACCACACACACACACACACACACACACACACACACACATAAATGTATAGTTCACAAAGGTTGATACTATAGGGAACAAAACTGACTGAATCTGGATGTTTTGCTTCAGACACTGAATCTGGACCTTCTGTTCTCCCAGAAGGTAGCAAGGAAAACAGGTATTGAAGAGGATGGTAGTGTCCCAGACAATACTGCGGACACTGGGCAAGCATTGCTTATATGTATTCGGGTGAGATTGGTTTGTAAAGAGAAACGAGGACAAGATGGAATAACGCACCATGCTGAAAACGTAAGCCTAAGTGTGCGGTACGTCTAAATCCATCGTCCCTCAGGAGTCAGGCGGCATATAAATTTAATGATGATGGCAATGACGACTTCAGTTGGATCGGAATCGAAAAAAGGACACTTGAAATGTGTGGTTGTGAACTGTGCTGGAAGGTTTGGTTGTGTGTTTTGTGGCTGGCGCTGTAATGAGCCCCAAAAATCAAAATTTTCAAGTTCCCTTGGTTTCAGAGAATGAAGTTTAGACATGTCCTTTCCCATTGAAAGCAAGAGGACTTGGGAATATCTGTCTTCAGAAGTAGCTGCCCCTTCATCTTAATGAAATTTACATTCAGGAAAATATATATTTTCCATGCAGCCGGGAGTGGAGGCCAGGGGTTTTGTTTGTTTCGTTCATGCAAGTATTCATCTGTCACAAAAATGTATTTCCTTTCATGAAGTATGTAGTGGCTGCCTTGCACAAGGTTTAATGAATAGCTCCACAGCCAAAATGATTGTTTCCCTATAGCTTCCCGCTACTCTAGAAGTTATGTGATAAAACGATCCCTGGATAATTTACTGTCTTCAGCCTTCTTTGTGGTCTGATCATATAACAAGTTAGCGCAAATCAAAATATGTTTTGAATCATTAGTGATCTGGGTAGGATACTTTTATCTTACAGGCTCTGGATGACATGCAATGTTACACACTGGAAGGATCTGATGGAAGAAATCTTACTTTCCCCCTGCAGTGCTGCTGTGTTGTTGCTCTGAGAATCCCCAAATTATTTACGGGCTGTTTCAATGAGGGTTGATAAGGAAACTGCATGGAGGAGATTACCTCTTTTGTAGCATTTAACATACAGATGATCACATGTCTAATACAACAAGAATGAGGAGTGTATTAATTTATGTAATGAAATCATTACATAAAATCTTTCGCATCTTTATATTTATAAGATTTAGTTATCCAAGTTTCAGACTGGATATATTAATCCATAGTAACACATTTTGGGCATTGCTCTTTCAACTTGTTAGATTGTTTACT